GAGGAGGAGGCTGTGGGCAGGAGGAAGAGCAGGATGCAGCCTGCTTGGAGCTGTGCAACGTTGCAGGCTGCAGAGGAAGCTGCTGTGATGGAAACTCCTCCTGCCTCTGCCTTTGTGCCCAGCCTCGTGACCCCCCGAACGAGCAACTCTTGCACAGCTTGAGCTTCGCTAAATCCCCCTGCTTTTTAATGCCTCGCCAGAAGGACCCAAAGGGTTAGGCAGAGCAAAGCCTGTGTGCCAGTCCTGCTGCCTTCCTTTTCACTTTCTTCTTCATCCTTGAAATCCGCTGGCTTTCAAAGGCCTGTTGCTTCTCAGGATCAAGTGATGCTTCATCTACTAATCCTGGGAGAGGGAGGTGTTTAGGAGCTTACAGCATCCCAGAATCTGCTTTACCTCTGGTAGCCCCAGTCACTGTTTTGCATTAGCCGGAGGGAAGAGTCGCTTTTGAGGGAGACTGGGGAAACTTTTGCAGTCAAAGGAGGATCGCTCCAAAAAAATCTGACTGGCCATTTCCAGGCAACTTCAAAGCAGTGGGTGTCAGGGAAGACTTCCTGACATGTAGATGCAGTCTTGCAGGAGCTCTGGTTAGCATAAACCACCTTTTCTGTGTGAATTTGTAGCTATTCAAGTTGTTTCTAATATAACATTGTTCTTCAATGTTGTTTTTTAAGGTCTCCCTCCAACGCCTGTCCAGCTGCTGTATCCAGTCTCCAGGTTCAGCAACGTCAAATCCCTTCAGCACCTTTGCCGCTTCCGGATCAGACAGCTGGTCCGTATAGACCACATCCCAGAGCTCCCCCTGCCCAAGTGAGTCTCCGGGCCCGGGCTGGGAATGGCTTTTTGGATTCCCCACCAGCAGGCAGAAAAGAGAAATCTGCATGAGCAGGAAAGGCAACAAACGTGCTGGGAAGGAGCAGTTAATGTCTGCAGCCTTGGGGCAGCAGCCTCAGTGTCCTGTTTAGGGTTTAGGGACACAGCAGACTGACTCAGGATGGGGTGTTGTCCATCACTGAGAGCCGTAGCAGAAGAGATTCCTGTTTGGTGACTGTGCTGGATGGGCCGCAGGGGAACTACCTGGTTAGAAGGTGATCTGGTTGCTGGTAACGTGTGTGTCTGTACCTTTTGCAGGCCTCTGATCTCCTACATTCGCAAGTTCTACTACTATGACCCCCAGGAAGAGGTGTACCTGTCACTGAAGGAAGCTCAGCTGATCTCCAAACAGAAGCAGGAGACTGAATCTTCAACGTAGCAAGGCTGCCTCTCCCGTCTTGTTGCTGTCACTGATGGTAAGTGTGTGCTGCTGGCCTGTGCAGTATCCTTGGAAATCGGGTGTAAATTGGTCAGTTCCATCTGGATGCAAAGGAAACAAGATCTTGGCTAAAAGGACAGGGCCACTTGTGCTCGTTTGGTACCTGCACAAGCCTGTGCTTCCCAGAGGGAGCTTTGTGCCAAACCAGCTCCAGTTTAGGTTAGATTCTGCTGCATCAAGTGGGATGTTTGATCTCTATCTTCTCTTCTCTCCCACTAGGAATTTGATAGTTGCCATCCTGTAGCCCAAGTCAGGCTGTGGTGGGAACAAAGCACACGAAAGTGAAGCCTGCTTCTGCAGTGTGACTTCTGCTCTCAAGCTCTTTTGTATACAGAAGAGGGTTTAAGACTCCCAGGAAGCACAGCAGAACAGGAACAAGAGCCTCAGCTCCTGGCTGGGGGAGAGGGAGTCTCAGGAGAGAGCTGAGCCCAACTCACGGACTCCTTGCAGAACAAAGAATGTCATGGCACTATTTACGATTTTTTGAAAGTTTTATTTTTGATGTCTTCATTTTTTTGTTTATTTTCAGCATGGGAAATATTGTCTTATGATCAGCTGAATTTTATTATCCTCCCTTGGAAACTTCAAGGTCGGGGGGAAGAGAGAGAGAAGGGGACTCTCTAGGAAGGTCTTCTGCTCCAGGCATTATGGTAAGACTGTTCTTTGGCTCTCATCAAAAGGGGCTGCAGCCAGAGAGCTGCTTCTGAGGCAGAATGAGCCAGATTCATGTGCAGCTATGTAGAAAAACCTCTGGGGAACATGGACAGCGTGCAGCTCTAGCTGCCCTGCTTTCTAGCATTTGGGAGACAAGGGCCAAAATGGGCAGCTGAGTTCTGCAACTGGATTTGCAGGCAGTCCTGAACGAGTTAGGTGCAGGGAAGGAAGAGCACGTGAGCCATTTGGATGTCCTGGAGCCTTTTGCCACATGGAGTGGCTGCTGCTACAGTGGGCAGCAAAGGATGCTCTTGTGAGGAAGCCTCGTTCCACTTAGCTGAGGTTGCTCAGAACTTCTGTAATAAGTGGAAGGTGGCAAAGCTGTTGCTGCAGTCCATGGACCAAAGGTACTTGCTCTAAAGTAGTATCAGCCTTGCAGAGCCTTGGGACACGCTCTTTAACCTTTCTGCTGGCTCTCTGCTGAAACTGTGAATGAAGTGGGAGGTGAGAAGGAGATTCATCAGTAGTTGGGCATTAAGAGGCATCTTTGGTGTGACTCAGAGCAAGAAGCAGATGATTGAGAATACGTCTGGGATAGCATCTGATCTCTCCGCAAGCTTGCTTGCAGCCTCCTCCTCTCCCTGGGATGCCCATAGAAATGCAACAAATCAGAAGCAGTAAAAAAATAAATAAATACAGCCCTTACTGCATTTCTAGGCTTGTCGCTGGCTGTAATGGCTCTTAGCATCCTGATCTGCTGTTTCATTCGCTGCAGCAGCTGCAAAGAGTTTGCATTTCATGGTGGAGTTTCATGTTTGCCCTAAGTGATGCTGCGAAGGATCCTTCCTCCCACGTTGTGTAAATGAACACGTGTTCCTGCGACCTGGATGAAGCAAATGCTCCGTCGTGCAACAATGTGGTCTGGAAATGGGATGCTGTGTGTGGCCTGGGTCTTCTGATGAGCCTGTTGATGGGCCGAGGTCCGTGCCCTGCGAGCTGGATGTGGTCATTCAGGAGCAACGTGTTAAGACTTTGTTCTTGCCCTGTAGAATGATCAATGTCCTTGAATTAGACACAGTCATGTGGATCTTAAAGCAACTCTGAACAAAATTCGGGTTGTTTGCCTCTGCCAAGTGTTGCTACAAAGGGTGCTAACAAATTCTGGCCTCCCTTTCTTAACCATCACCTCTGGCCTCTGTTTGAGGCTTGGAAACAAGTGTGTGTTTTCTTTTTCAAAGAGAAAGGGTTTTGGCTTCCAGATGAAACTAACAGCTTCAAAATCTGTAGAAATACCTCATCGGACACTACCTGCTGCTGACTGTGTTGCATGTCAGGGGCGATGGGCCTCAGGAAGGGTTCCTGCACCCAAGACCTGCTGCATGGAATATCTCAACCCTTGGTGAAATCTGAGCTGATGTGCCCTGTCCCTACGGGGCCAGGGATTCATCCCACTGTATTCCACTGCTGTATTCCCTTTCCACTGCTGAAGATCTGCATCTCCTACCAAGTTACCAGCAGAGCCGGAAAAAAAGCAATTGCTTAGGCTAAGAAACGCACAGCAAATTGGGCGAATGTTGGGAAAAGCATCCATGTACTCATGCACATGAGACTTCATTCAGCAGTATCAAGGCACGTGGCCCTGTTGCGCCAAGACTGTTCTGTGCACTGAGGATTTGAATCTTCCAGTTTTTTCATACACTGGAAAGGAAAATCTACCCAAGAGCCAAGTGTGGTCTAATAGCTTAAGGGTCTGAATCTGTGCCAGCGAAGCCACAATGTGCCCGATGCAAATGTCTCCCCTAAAGCTCCCCTCCAAAAAAAAGCAGCTCTGGAGATACAGATGGGAGGGCCACGTGGCCAATGCATGGGGAGCGAAGCCGTCCCGCTCCCCAGTGCGATGGCAGTAACAGCATTTTCACCCCTTCCTCGTTTGGGGGTAGAAAATGCAAGCTGGGTTTGGGGAAGAATAACAGCCCGAAAGAGAGGAAGATAAGGGGGAAGTGGCACTTGCCAAACGCTGGGAATTTGTGTAGAACCAGTCTCTGCCATCGCTGGAATGGGGAGGGAGCTGGGAGGCTTCTGGAGCGTGGGTAGAAATGCACAAAACCGCTCCCCGGAGTGGGGTGCTTTGCAGGGAAACGCTCTGCTGTTCTCGCACTGCTGCTTGCAGCAGCTTTTTGATGCTCTGCTTCCCTAAATGCACACACCCGACTGCGGCCGTGTCCCTGCGGAGCTGCCAAGGGAGCTGTACGGCACTGGGAACTGCCCACGAAGCAGCCGGGTTTTGGGGGCAATACTTGAATAATCCAAACTGTGTCTGTTCCCGTCCTTCAGATGCGTTCCCCAAACAGGCTGGTGCTGCTGCTGTTCGGTGAAACTTGACCATAGGAGAAGTCCATCCTCCTAGGGAGGAACCGAGATTTCTTTCCACTTTAGATACTGAGATCTCTGCAAGATTTTGCAGAACTGAAATGATGGAAAAAAACATCGCATGGGATGTCTGATGAGAGGCTGTGGGACGCAGTAGCTTTGTGCTGTTCGCATGACAAGACCCTCCTATTGCTCTGCATCAGACAGGAGTAGTGAGGACAGTAGATGCTCTTCAGCCTTCCCTGTAGGAAGAAATACACTTGGAAAAGAAGGAGCAGGGGCTGGAGTCTGGACCGGGAGCTGTTTTAAGGAGGGAGGTGTAGGAAGGGAACTTCAGTTAAAATCGGACATTTCAATGACTTCACTGTCCTCGTGGAGCCAAAGGTCTGAGCCGCCTGGCTCGAGGGCTGGCAGGGGACCCACAGGGCTCCCTGTCACCTTGGCTTTCAGGGGCAAAGAGTTTTTATTAACCCCCTCTGAAGGAAACCTGTAGCCCTCCCCTTCTTGGCCCCGCTTTCCTGGTAAACTCCCTCCTAATCCAGAGTCTTCCGTGCAAAACAGCGGGCAGGACCCGAGTTCCTGATCCCAGATGTCCCCAGGGTCTGGCAGGGATGTGGGACTCTGCTTCCTCGCGGTGCTTTGGGCCCAAAAGCACAACGGGTGCCCTAGGCCCCTCTCCCGCTTATTTGCTTCCAAAGGCTCTTGAGAAGACTGGCAAGTGGTGGGGAACACACTGGATTTACCCTCCCAGCTAAAAAATGGGAGTGGAAATGGGTAAATATCACTGATTATGGCAAATGCCAGGGGAGCTGCAAGCAGGACCCTGTGGAGTCCAACATGAGGACTGCACTAGGCGCCCTGGCCTCTCCAACCACCCTTGAGTAGAAATGCAGCATTGCTTGATTTTCCCTTTTTTTTTTTTTTTTTTTTTTTTTTTTTTTTTGTGTGTGTGTGCTTAATTTATTAAAATAGTTGCTGTATAATTTATTTTCATAAACTATATAAAAAAAAGCTACTAAATGGTAAAACAGACTTGCAGGCCAATCTTACAGAGAGAAAAAAAAAGAAGAAAAGTTTTTTTGATATAGACACAACAAATGCACTTTGGGTGTGTTTGGTTATTTTTGGGGGTAGGGGTGGGGGTGACCGGCTGTACCTGGGGGTTGTCTGTATATATTGTATTAATAGGCATGTTTGGCCTCGCATGCGGGGACCTTGGTCGCTGCTGTGGGTCCGGGGGGGGAAGCTGGTGTGAAGTTCCCAGTTTTTTGTAAGTCGTCAGTGAGGGAGAAGCAACTTTTGTGTTTGTAGCTCCTTTTTATTGTCATTTTGACTGATGCTTTTGAGTTCGTTTGGTTTTTTTGCGTGGGGGTGGGAGGGGAGAGAGTGGAGTTTGAAATAAAACCAGTGGAAATGGCCCTCTGTGCTGTGTGTTGCCGTGAGCCGCGGTGGGAGCGGGATGCTCTTTCCCGTTCCTGGGTGCGGGATGGGGATCTGCCGCCCGCCCCCTTCCCGGCTGCGGGAGCCGCCGCCGCCGCTTTTCCCTCTTCCCAGCGCCGCGGAGCCGCTT